CCCCCCACCCGCCCTTTCGTGCCCCCCCCCCCACCTCAACCACCATGGGGTCCCAGGAAACGAGAGCCCATCTCTCCTCCTCTGGGCTCCCAGCCCCACACCATAGCAGAAGTGCCAGGCAGGAAGGGGGCTTTCTGCCCATTTCCTCCAGCAGCCCCACCACGGTGGCCCCCCTCCCTTGCATCAGCAGCAGCCTTCAAACCTCAGCTGTGGGTAGGCAGCTTTTGCTTTGTTGTTGTTTGCTTCTGTTACGCCATCTCCCATCTTTTTGCTACTGGCACTTCTCCTTTGAGCTCACTATTCGCTCGTCAGCCGAGATGGTGCTGTCTCCAGACCCACGATTTCATCCAGCTGCCCTGCTAACACAGCCAGCTCTTCACCTTTTGACTCAATCGTCTCTGGAAACCTCCCTGGAAACCCCTCTTCCTCCAAAGTAATAAAAAAAGAAGTACTAAACATATCATGCCTCATTTCCAGGCCAATTTCATCCAGCCTCCATTTCAGCTAACAACTTCTCCTCCAATAAAGAGCCTCTCAGGCCTGGACCTAAGCTGAAAGCCACCTTGCAGGATATACTCAAAAGCAGCATTAACCAGCTTTTTCTGTCACCATACCCCATCAGCAGGATTGTTCACCAAGCATACACCCTGCAACCACTCAGGGCCATCACGGTTCAAAGGGATGAGGCTGGGCAAGGCTTGCTGTTTGAGAAACAACTGACCACAGGGGTGCTGAACTCCAGCATTTACAGCTTATTCACAGTCCATCTTTAGGTCTAGTCCCCTCACAAAAATTGTCCCTCCTTCCACATCCTGACAGTTGAAGGAAGCTGCTGGTACAGTCGTCTAGAGGGAGGCACAAAGCTCTGGAGCTTCCCCATTAGCCTCTCAGTTTAAAACTGCGGTATAAGCACCATCACAAGAGACATACTGCAGTTATAAGGCTGAATACAGCCAATTCTGTTAACTCCAGGTTTTACTTTTCACTTCCAGGACAACAATCAGCTGTTTAAAAAAAAAAAAAATCGGAGATGCAGGGAGAGAGGACAGCAACAGCTTTTGCCTACCAGATAGAGATGCACAACTCTGGAAATGGTGATGTTACTGTCCCTTGTTTGTACTTTCCTGCTTTCCATTTACTTTACAGATGAGTTTCATGCATCCCCCCCTTATAAACATTGCTAGACACCCACCACAGTTGTCAGACTTGTGATCTTAGTTGTTACTTGTGACTTCACCGAGGCTTCACAGTTCTCCCTTAAGAGCCACGTCATAATCTGTAAAAGCTGGTTAATATTTTCTATGACATGGAGGGATGGGATTGGCAAAGTTTGTGACAAAAACACAGCTTCTCAGGACAGACTGTGACAAGCACGCAGAAGTGAGCTGTACCAAGCCCTACTGCAGTGGTTTTATTTTCACCTCTCAGAAAGCAGCAGCCCGTTCCCGTAAGAGCTGACAACACACCTATTCCCAGCCCAGCATGCTGATGCTCAGCTATAATTACAGAGGCAGGATTATCCAATATACTGAATCAAGATGAAGCTGTTTAGGTACAGGGCTATATTTCCTTCTGTTTCCCAGGAATTACAGCCATCTGCAGTAGGGTCAACACACAGCCACTGTAAATCACAGTAGCCACCTGCCCAAAATCCTAACCTTTCCATACATTGTCATGGGCCAAAGAGTAGAGGGGAAAAAAAATAGGCTCCACAGGCATCCTCTGTCCTTGGGGTCAAGACAGCAGGGCATTGGCACAACTAACAGAGGTGCCTCACATCCCTAAACATCCAACTGAAAACAGGAAAACCTTGGTCCTGTTTGATAGCCCCGTGATCATACAAACCTCCTCTACTCAGAGGACAGGTGTAAGGTAGTCACACCCCAAGAAGGCAGGCTCCATTTCTTCTGAACTCATTTCTCCCCAACAAGCTGGTTTGCCAAGAAGCTTGCCCAAGCAAAAACCTGCAGTTCCCAGTCTGCACACAGGGACCAAGACACCTCAGAACTGATTAAACTATTTATGCTGTTGTGTTACTGCTACCAAAAAAAAAAAAAGTAGAAGCGTACAACCACTTTCCTTCTTGCATGCAGAGGTATGAGGTACTTTGGACTTTGGAGACTCCTGTAACCTCTAGAGAACACTTACCTCTGCCAACTCACTGTTCCTAAGGAACAGGCTTAACAGCTCTATAGAAACCATAAAGTCCTTCTCACAATAACAAACTATCTGGACATCCTCCAGGAGAGGAGGAATAAGAAAGGCAGCTCACTTAGTGACCAGGGAAGGACTCCCGCTCCCTGAGAGCACTGCAGGCTGGCACTGAGGACACCACCAAGTCAGTCTCTTCAAGCCACCCAAGGGTCCAAGGGTTCCCTTCATCACTGCATGCCCAAGGGGACACTGCTCCTTCTGATAGATCTGAGGGTGCAACCCTTTCCCATGCAGCTTGCTCTCCAGCCAGTCAGAGCTGAACTGAATTGCATAGTCAAGCAGACGCTCCAGATCCGAAAGAGCCAAGAGAGAGCCTTGTGTTAATGGATGGATCTTTGCCAGGTACAAAATCTCATTCTTAATGATGTTGCCTGGAAAGGGTCAGAAATAAGGAGACTGTAAGAATACTGCTTATCAAGACGACACAGAATGAAGGAGTTCAATGCCAGTTCTGCGATCAGCATTTGAGACCAACTGAGAGCAACTCCCTCCAGACTTATTTTGTACATAAAATTGTGCAGACCTGTGGCTGCAGTCCCTGTGACTTCCGCCTAAAGGAGACGCAGGTAGCAATGCCATTCCCCATATCAGAGGTAGCATACAAGGAGCAGGCTTACACCTGGGAATAGATCTGATGAGTCTCTTCCCACCACCCTTCAAGGAAACCTTCCTTTCTTTCACAAGGACAAGCCAATCAGTAGTCTCCCCTCCCCGCCCCCCACCAAGACAGTTCACTGGACTCGCATGATGCACTTAAGCATCTGAAGCCAAGGGGTACAGCCTGCAAAGCTTATTCTCAGTGAGAAGACCATATACACTCAGCTGAATCAGCTAGGAGCTTGCTTTGCCATAAGGCTAAGTTGGAGTTGGAGGCTCAGAGTAAGCGTGGACCCACAGACATCCCATCCACCTCCCTTTGTTGTTCTGCCACCATGCCCTGGAACTCACCCAGCCCTGAAAAATATCTCTGGTCTAACAGGGTGTAGCAGACAGGATTGGATGTCCTGAGGGCGTCCAGCGCCCGACCACGGTGGAACTCCACAGACAGGATGTCAGAAGCAGGATCAGCCATCGGAGAAGAGCACCAGTGCATTCGGCAGTTGTAGAAAACAAGGAAGCCCCCGCTCTCAAAGTGCAGAACCAGCCTGGGAGAGGCAGAGAAGTTAAAATCTTTAGCCAAAAACACCCCAAACCATTTGTTATATTCGGCTCTGGCTAAAAAGACTTAATGGAGAGGAGAGTGTAGACAGAGATAGCAGCTACGGAATGGAGTGGAAAGTCACCAGAAGACACAGAAGAGCCTGTACATGACATAAGCTTACAGAGAAGGAGACTCCATGCTGAGGCACCAGCCCCCATGGAAAGCAGATGCCTACTAGTTCTTAAGGTACCAGTCCCCCCTCAGGCAGGGGCACTACCACAGTTCAAGAAGCAGGAATTGAAAATTGCACGGTGTCTCAATTAAGCTATTCCTTCCCCACACTCATCGCTCCACAAATATGCATGCACAAGGGGACAGCAGGCGCTCCAACATACCAGTCCACTATCTTAAAGCAAGCCAGTCTCCTCTAGTGCTCTCAGTCAAGAAGCTTGACTGTGAACCAGCATAACTCATGGATAGTTGTTCCTTCTGCTGACCTGTGGCCTATAGCCACGGGATGACAGCAGGCAGAGAGAAGCATTAGCATCTTGGCCACCTCCGGCAGGTAAGCCAGCTGACCAAAGTCTCCAGCAATAGGGTCTATAATCAGTGAGACTGATGCTAAAAACAACACACAAAAAACGGACTGCATGTCTGAAACTGCTTGAATCACAGAATGGTTTAGGTTGGAAGGGACCCCCGGAGATCATCTAGTCCAACCTCCCTGCTCAAGCAGGGTCCTCTAGAGCACATTGCCCAGGATCATGTCCTGGTGGGTTTTGAATATCTCCAGGGAAGGAGACTCCACTACCTCTCTGGGCAACCTGTTCCAATGCTCTGTCACCCTCACAGTCAAGAAATTTTTCCTCAGGTTTAGGTGGAACTTCCTATGGTTCAGTTTCTGCCCATTGCCTCTTGTCCTGTTGCTGGGCACCACG